ACATAAGTCATGTATGTTTCACATAAGCATAGAAAGAAATGTAAAGAGATATGCACCAAATTGACTTTATATATTTTTCTGTTACTTGGCTTTGAAAAAATAATGTTCTCATTTTTGAATTTTAAAAGAAAACTCCAATAAAATGTACATATGTTTAAAAATTTTTAAGAAAATGAAAACTAATTTTAATGATGACTTGGAATATGCACAGCATTCCCAGAGACTAAGACACTATTCTAAAAGACAGATATTATAAAGCAGTCTATATAGTTTGTTAATTCATTACATCAAATACAAAACTTGCTGCTTTAAGGTAGATATTTTATTTTTTAATGAAACAGGGTCTGACTCTCTCACCCAGGCTGGAGTGCAGTGGTGTCATAATGGCTCATTGCAGCCTCAAACTCCTAGGCTCAAGGGATCCTCCCACCTCAGCCTCCAGAATATCTGGAACTACAGGTGTGCCCCAGAGAGAATTAAATAGGGTGTGTGTGTGTGTGTGTGTGTGTGCGCGCGCGCACGCACGTGCGTAGATGGGGTTTTGCCATCTTGCCCAAGCTAGTCTTGAACTCCTGGGCTCAAGCAATCTTCCTGCCTCAGACTCCCAAAGTGCTTGGATTTACAGGCATGAGCTACTGGGCCTGGCCATAGCCTATTTTAAAAGGTCTTTTAGTCTCTTTACAGAGTATTTATTTCCCTGTGCTGACCTATTTTAAGAGCAGGATTCTAGCACTAGGTGGAAAATGACAGAATGGAACACTTTTAAACTAGAAAAAGAAAATATGTCTAAGAACAGGTAAATGGTTTTGTTTAATATTTCGAGACAGAGCTACAAATGTTAGAGTGATTTGTTTCCCAGGTTATATTTTGTTGGTATTCAAAGACCAACATTTTACTAGAAGGCATGGCATGTGATGAGAATCAGGTCTGGGTTTGACACGTATTTGGTTTGGGTTTGAAAGCCTTACTTTACTTAATTTTGAGACAGGGTCTTGCTCTGTTGCCTGGGCTGGAGAGCAATGGTGTGATCATAGCTTGCTATAACCTTAAACTCGCCGGCTCAAGGAATTCTCCTCCCTCAGCCTCCAGAGTAGCTAGGACTACAGGCATAAGCCACCAGGCCCAGCTATTTTATTTCATTTTTTGTAGAGACAGGGTCTTGCTATGTTACCCAGGCTGGTCTCAAACTCCTGGCCTCAAGCAATCCTCCCATCCTTGGCCTCCCAAAGCACTGGGACTGCAGGTGTGAGCCACTGCACCCAGCTGACATTTTATTTTTGTATGTTATTTTTCAAGTCTTTTCTCAACCAAAAAAAAAAAAAATCTCAAGTATAAAAACATTTGCATTGGAACATAAGCTCCATGAAGACAGAGATTTGTGTTGAGTTCACTATTATAACCTCAGCACCTAGGACAGTACCTGACACATATCAGAAACTCATATACATTTTCCACCTAGCGCTAGAATCCTGCTGTTAAAATCAGTCAGCAAAGGAAAATAAATACTTCATAAAGACACCAATTCATTTCTGGTGGGAATGCAAAATGGTACAACCACTTTGGAAGGCAGTTTGGCAGTTTCTTATAAAACTTAATATACTCTTACCATGTAATCTAGCAATCATTCCCCTTGCTATTTACCCAAATGAGTTAAAAGCTTATATCCTGCATGTAACAAAAAGCCTGCATACAGATGTTTATAACAGCTCTAACCATAATTGCCCAAACTTGGAAGCAACCAAGATATCCTTCAGTAGGTGAAGAAATAAACTGTAGTACATCCAGACAATGGAATATTATTCAGCACTATAAAGAAATGAGCCACCAAACCATAAAAAGACATGGAGGAATCTTAAGTGCATATTACTACATGAAAGAAGCCAATGTTAAAAAGTCTATATACTGTATGACTCCAACTATATGACATTCTAAAAAAGGCAAAACTATAGGACAGTAAAAA